TTTACCACAGTATGCATCCCAAGAAAAGAACAATCCAAATCTTTAAGCTCACGGGAGATCACATTCACAAACAAAGCAATCACTAATCTAAAGCCAAATCAACCTGAAATAAAGCACGACCGAACACATTCAAAGTCTTACCCGAATGTGTGTGCGCGTGAATATCTCATAGTCCACCACTGTGGCCACCAGACAGGAATTACTGCACTTTGTAGTCTTGAGATGCATGATGGAGTTTTCTGATTATTATTTACACAGATTTACTCTACGGTTATTTGTGATGGAAAGTAAGCATGTAGATCTGCTCTTCAACACGTGCAGCAGAAGTTTCTAGCTGGCGCTCAGCAGTGCAGAGAGGTCACGGCTTTACACACCGCTTTATCTGCTGCTGATTATAGTATAGCACCGCCCTCTCTCTCTCTCTCTCTCTCTCTCTCTCTCTCAGCTCCTCCCTTCATACAGTTGAAGACAGAATTGTTCGCCCTCCTGTTCCTTTCTTTGTCAAATATTTCCCAAATGATGTTGAACTGATTCAGGAATTTTTCACAGTATGTCTGATAATATTTTTTCTTCTGGAGAAAGTCTTATTTGTTTTTTTTCGGCTAGCAGAAAAGCAGGTTTTAATACTCATACTAGTTTTAAACTCATTTTAAGGTCAATATTATTGCCCCCTTTAAGCTATATGTTTTGGATTGTCTCCAGAACAAACCACTGTTAAACTGACTTGCCTAATCACCCTAACTTTACCCTAATTAAAATAGTTATTTATTCATTTATTTATTTGACATGGCCATCACAATTACACTTGACAACCAAATGCTTTTTTTAAAAAGTGTTTTAGCAAACTTGCTAATTATAAATAATTATATATTAAATATATATTAAATAATTATAAATAACACCTGTCCACAGGAGGCTTAAAAATTGACAAAATGGAACTATAATAAAAACATTAAAATTATTTACATGAAATTACTGCAGGCAAAACCAATGGCAACATGATCCAACCAACTAACAGTAGACTTTTTGTGCAAACACTGCTGTTTTGTTTTTGTTATTTATATTACTTTCTGATTTTAAGCTAACCGGTAAATCATTCAAAATTAAATTATTAAATTAAATTAAATTAAATGTAGATCTGCTATTGTAGATGTAGATCTGAAAATTTAATTAAATTATAAAATTATTAAAATAGTTAAGCCTTTAAATGTCATTAGGCTGTATAGAAGTGTCTTAAAAGAATATCTAGTCAAATATTATGTGCTGTCATCATGGCAATGAGCTATTAAAACTATTATGTGTAGAAATTTAGGAGAAATATAGAGGAGGGCTAATAATTCTGACTTGCATGTATGCATGTCTTAATTCAACTCCATTCAGAATGGCTATTATTGGCATGAGTGTGAATAATAATAGAATATTGCCAAAGCTTAAAATATCTTGACAAATATAAAAATATAATACAATATATATTTGTTTTAAACAATATAAACTAAATATAATGATTTAAACAAAGTAACAAATAAGAAAATGAACATTTAAGCCAGGGGTGTCCAAACTCAGTCCTGGAGGGCCGGTGTCCTGCTGAGTTTAGGTCCAACTTCCTTCAACACACCTGCCTGTAAGTGGCTGTGTTCGAAACCGCATACTCAATGAGCAGGTCCTCAACTTCAAAAAGTACTTACTTAAGAAGGACTAAAAGAGTAGGCAATCAACAGCCAAATCTCGTTGAGTATGAATAGGATCGTACCTTATCATGTGACTGACAATAGAAGCGCAACAACTTTAAAGAAATTGCAGGTTTATTCATTCATTCATTTTCTTGTCGGCTTAGTCCCTTTATTGATTTGGGGTCGCCACAGCGGAATGAACCGCCAACTTATCCAGCACGTATTTACGCAGCGGATGCCCTTCCAGCTGCAACCCATGTCTGGGAAACATCCACACACACACACACACTCATACACTACGGACAATTTAGCCTACCCAATTCACCTGTACCGCATGTGCTTGGACTTTGGTGGAAACCGGAGCACCCGGAGGAAACCCACGCGAACGCAGGGAGAACATGCAAACTCCACACAGAAACGCCAACTGAGCCGAGGATCGAACCAGTGACCCAGCGACCTTCTTGCTATGAGGCGACAGCACTACCTATTGTGCAACTGCGTTGCCATAATTATAACAATCCTATAATAATAATATAAATAAGATAACAGGGACAGAAGCACCTCGCATCAGTAACGTGACAAATCTACCTAATAGTTTTCAACGTCTTTTTCTTATATATATATATATATATATCGTTCAGATGCAAAAACCTTGAGCCATCTGAAATTTCCTTCTAAAAAGAGCATTTTCCATACCTAATAGTAGAGAAGTACGCGGTTTCGAACGCAGCCTCTGTCTAGTACAGGGGGACGGTGGAGGGCCGGTGTATGGAGAGTTTAGCTCCAACCCCAATCAAACCCATGAAGCAGATAATCAAGCTCTAACTAGATTTACTAGAAACTTACAGGCAGGTGTGTTGAAGAAATGTGGAGCTAAACTCAGCAGGACACCAATTTGGAGCCTCTGATTT